CCCGGATTTCCCTCCGCCCCATCCCGACCCCCATCTCCCCCCCCATCTCCCCCCCGTCATCTCCCACCCATCTCTCCCCCCCCATCTCCCACACCCCATCTCCCCCCCCCATCTCCCTCCCCATCTCCCCCCCATCTCCCTCCCCATCTCCCCCCCATCTCCCACACCCCATCTCCCCCCCATCTCCCTCCCCATCTCCCCCCCATCTCCCACACCCCATCTCCCCCCCCATCTCCCTCCCCATCTCCCCCCATCTCCCTCCCCATCTCCCCCCCCATCTCCCACACCCCATCTCCCCCCATCTCCCTCCCCATCTCCCCCCCATCTCCCCCCCATCTCCCTCCCCATCTCCCACACCCCATCTCCCCCCCCATCTCCCTCCCCATCTCCCCCCATCTCCCTCCCCACCTTCCCCCCATCTCCCACACCCCATCTCCCCCCATCTCCCTCCCCATCTCCCCCCCATCTCCCTCCCCATCTCCCCCCATGTCCCACACATCTCCCCCCCATCTCCCTCCCCATCTCCCCCCCCCATCTCCCCCCCATCTCCCCCCCATCTCCCCCCCATCTCCCCCCCATCTCCCCCCCATCTCCCTCCCCATCTCCCACACCCCATCTCCCACACCCCATCTCTCCCCCATCTCTCCCCCATCTCCCACCCATCTCCCACCCATCTCCCTCCCCATCTCCCCCCATCTCCCCCCCATCTCCCTCCCCATCTCCCCCCCATCTCCCCCCCATCTCCCCCCCATCTCCCTCCCCATCTCCCACACCCCATCTCCCACACCCCATCTCTCCCCCATCTCCCACCCATCTCCCACCCATCTCCCTCCCCATCTCCCCCCCATCTCCCCCCCATCTCCCTCCCCATCTCCCCCCCATCTCCCCCCCATCTCCCTCCCCATCTCCCCCCCATCTCCCACACCCCATCTCCCACACCCCATCTCCCCCCCATCTCCCCCCCCATGTCCCACACCCCATCTCCCCCAATCTCCCCCCCCCATCTCCCCCCCCCTCCCCATGTTTTAGTTCCATCGCTCACGAGTGGAGAGTTTTTTTCTTTTTCTCGGGGGCTGAGTTTGTAAATCTGTGGGCACCCCGAGGGGACCCCCATCACCCCCCCCCCACCACCACCCACACACAAACACACACGTGAACACACACACGTGAATACACACACACACGTGAATACACACACGCACACACACACACGTGAATACACACACACACGCACACATGAATACACACACGCACACACACACACGTGAATACACGCGCACACACACACGTGAATACACACACACGCACACACCTGAATACACACACACGTGAATACACACACATGCACACATGAATACACACACGCGCACGCACACGTGAATACACACACACGTGAATACACACACACGCACACATGAATACACACGTGAATACACACACGCACACACACACACACGTGAATAGACGCACGCACACGTGAATACACACACGCATACACACACACGTGAATACACACACGCACACACACACGTGAATACACACACACGTGAATACACACTCGCACACACGCACAAGTGAATACACACACGCACACACGCACACACGTGAATACACACACGCCCACACGTGAATACACACACGCATACGTGGATACACACACGCACACACGTGAATACACACACGCACACACGCACACGCACACACGTGAATACACACACGCACACACAAACACACGTGAATACACAAACGCACACGTGAATACACGCACACACACACGCACACGCGTGCACATGCAAAGACAAAGATTCCCCCTGTAGCCTTTAGCGGTCTGTTGGGACAAGTGCTGTCAGCGAGCACCTATGAAGGCAGGCACGGCACACAACTGGGGTTGTAAGTGTGTGTGTGTATGTGTATATGTGTGTGTGTAGTTGAGTGTGAGTGGACTTGCCGATGACTGGTACCAGCGGTGTCAAGATCGGCCTCTGTGGAGGAGGCTCGTCAAGGACGCTACTGGGCATTTAGAGGCAGTTGCCCTCCAACAACAACGAAGGGCGGAGGAGCGACGCTCACAACAACGAGCGGAGCGCCGGGTGGCTAAAGCACAGCAGGTTGGCACAGTAGGGGGCACAGGTAGTGGGTCACTACTACCAGTCAGTCGACCCGTGGCACCTGGGTCTGCCCCGTGACCTCCTGCCAGCGGGCGTTCGACACTTCGCGTGGCCTCAAGGTGCACATAGCCTGGCACAAGCGTCGTGTATGTATGTGTGTACGTGTGTGTATGGGGAGCGGTAGTGTAGCGGTTCGCGCTACGCTGCGCTACGAACCTGGCGACCCAGGTTCAATTCCCGCTCACGGCCAACACCGGTGACGATTATCTGAACCGGTCCCGGGCCTCCCCTAGGTTGACTCAGCCTCAAACGAGTACCTGCTGCGGTGTGGTGTAAACATCGCCACTGGGGGAGACAAAGGCGGCCGCGCCTTTTGCTAGCTACCCACCCCCTCGTGTGCTGCAGCCGGCCTTCACCGCTGCTACTCGCTACGAACAGCACTTGCCCCAACAGTCTGCGCAGGCTACACGGGGGGATCTTTGTCTTGTGTGTGTGGAGCAGGAGCTGGGCAGGTGGTGTCGCTCAGCGTCGCGTTCCGACGAGAGAGGTCACGGCGAGGACGCGAGGCACGGAGCCCCTGCCCACCCTGTCCAGCCTTCACAGACTGTTGTTGGGGCAAGCGCTGTCGGCGAGGGGGTGGGTGGCCAGCACCCCACGCCCGGCCGTCTTTGTCTCCCCAGTGGTCTACATTTGCACGTCGCGGCAAGTACAGCGCTCGTTTTGAGTCCGAGTCGACCTAGGGGGAGGTCCGGTCTAGGCAGTCCACCACTGGTGCTGGTGGCTGTGAGTGGCAATCCAACTCGGGTCGCCGGGTTCGTAACGCAGTGCGCTAACCGCTCCCCCACACACACACACAGACAAAGATCCCCCGTGTAGCCTTAACAGACTTGTTGGGGCAAGTGCTGTTAGCGAGCAGCACCTATGAAGGCCGGCACGGCACACGAGGGGGTGGGTGGCCGGCACCACGCCTGACCGCCTTTGTCTCCCCGGTGGCGATGTTTACCACACCGCACCAGGTACTCATTTGAGGCTGAGTCGACCTAACGGAGGCCCAGAATCGGCTCAGATAATCGTCACCGGTATTTCATGGTCGTGAGTGATGTGGTTCAGCGTCGGCATGGTAACAATGATTCTGATAGTGCGGTTGATGATGATTTTTCCACCATTGTCTTCGAGGAGGAGGTGGTGGAGGAGGAGGAGAATGATGGAGCGGGGGAGGGGGAGCGTTGGCGATGCGAACTGAACATAGTCACACCTGTCAACGCCTCAGAGTCACACCTGTCAACCCCTCAGAGTCACACCTGTCAGCCCCTCAGAGTCACACCTGTCAGCCCCTCAGAGTCACACCTGTCAACCCCTCAGAGTCACACCTGTCAACCCCTCAGAGTCACACCTGTCAACCCCTCAGAGTCACACCTGTCAACCCCTCAGAGTCACACCTGTCAACCCCTCAGAGTCACACCTGTCAACCCCTCAGAGTCACACCTGTCAACCCCTCAGAGTCACACCTGTCAAGCCCTCAGAGTCACACCTGTCAACCCCTCAGAGTCACACCTGTCAAGCCCTCAGAGTCACACCTGTCAAGCCCTCAGAGTCACACCTGTCAGCCCCTCAGAGTCACACCTGTCAACCCCTCAGAGTCACACCTGTCAACCCCTCAGAGTCACACCTGTCAAGCCCCTCAGAGTCACACCTGTCAACCCCTCAGAGTCACACCTGTCAACCCCTCATAGTCACACCTGTCAACCCCTCAGAGTCACACCTGTCAACCCCTCAGAGTCATACCTGTCAACCCCTCAGAGTCACACCTGTCAACCCCTCAGAGTCACACCTGTCAGCCCCTCAGAGTCACACCTGTCAAGCCCTCAGAGTCACACCTGTCAGGCCCTCAGAGTCACACCTGTCAAACCCTCAAAGTCACACCCTTCAACCCCTCAGAGTCACACCCTTCAACCCCTCAGAGTCACACCTGTCAGGCCCTCAGAGTCACACCTGTCAGGCCCTCAGAGTCACACCTGTCAAACCCTCAAAGTCACACCCTTCAACCCCTCAGAGTCACACCCTTCAACCCCTCAGAGTCACACCTGTCAAGCCCTCAGAGTCACACCTGTCAAGCCCTCAGAGTCACACCCTTCAACCCCTCATCAGTGCCCTACCTCATTACAGACCAATTCAGACTATATTGGTCACCACGTGCCCCTTATAAAGTTCATCCTACAAAGTCCCATCACAAGGGAGAAACACAAACAAATATACAAACACATTTAATAATATAATAATGGGGCTTTCCATTTTTTTCTGGCAACAAAACTGAAACCTTTTTACAAGGATTCATGTTTACTGCATTAACCACAATACCTGCAGTCAAAATGCAAACAAAAAACATACTATGATAATATATGCATTGTCCTTGAAACTGATTGGTCCACACCAAGGGATGGCTTTCTTTTGAGCCTCGACCCAATTGTTGCCAGAAAAAAGGGGAAAACCCCTATTATTACATTTTGGTACTGGCAAAGGAGGTCTAATGATGTAGAAACACATTTATGTTTTTTGTTTCCTCTATTGAAACGGCTGTACGCCGTATGGACCTGAAAACTCAATTTCTCGGTACAGGAATTCGGGGTAAACCGCGTGGGTTGACAGCTGTGCAGAGGGGACCTTCTGGAACCATCACAGAGATATTTTTGTTTTGTTTGCGGAGTTAGATCGCGCAAACATAAATGTGTCGTTGTTAACCCGCCGCCGCCACCTGGCACAGCCAATGAGCAAGGTCTGTCCCGTAAACAAAACACGTGCCGGTCGAGTGACCAATCCAGCACCACCGGCCCCGCGGAAGGGGGCGGAGGCTCCACAGCTGAGAGTGAGGGGGGGGGAATCACCACCGCTCACCTGCAGTCGTGCTTCTCGAGGTCAAAGTGCGGGTTGAAGTTGAGGATGATCTTCTGGTCGCTCTCGGGCGCCCGCAGGAGCCACTCGCAGCGCTGGTAGGGCTGGTAGTCGTCAGGGAAACCCGGCGAGGTGATGTAGCCGGCGTTGCGTGCCGACACCTCGCCGCCGCAGGTCGCCGTACCCCCGGGGCCCCCCGCCGCCGCCGGTGGTGGTGGTGGTGGAGCTCCGGGCTGGCCAGCCTGGCCGGCTGCTGTGGGAATACATGGGGAGGGAGGGGAGGGAGGGAGGAGGTGTTCAGGTGTGGGGGGGGCATTGGGGAATTGAAAGGTTAGGAACCGCACCAGCCAATCGGATACTAGGCCTAACCCTAACTATACTAGACAATCAGACACTAGTACTAGTCACCACACTCACTAGCCAATCAGACACTACTACGACTAGCCCTAAACTCACTAGCCAATCAGACACTAGTACTAGTCCCAACCCGACTAGCCGATCAGACCCTACTACTACTAGCCCTAAACTAACTAACCAATCAGACACTAGTACTAGTCACCAAAATCACTAGCCAATCAGACACTACTACGACTAGCCCTAAACTCACTAACCAATCAGACATTAATACTAGTCCCAAACCGACTAGCCATTCAGACACTACGACTACTAGCCCTAAACTCACTAGCCAATCAGACACGAGCACCAACTCTAACCCTACCACTAGCAAATCAGACACCAGCACTAGCCCTAACCTTACCACACGAGCCAATCGGACACTAGCCCTTATGCCTAACCCTAACCCCACTAACCAACCCCCTGTGCATGGTAAAGTCGCGAGCGAGTTTCGGTGTTGGCGGTGCCCTCGACAGCTGAACGCGTGATCATGCACGAGAGGACGCAAAGCTGAAGGGTCAAAGTGAGGGTCACGATCACGGTCACGACTTCTGTTTTATTGATGCGCTTTTGGGCGCCGAGATGTTCACTACCTCGCCTGGTATACAGGAGGTCGTGGGTTCGATCGCAACCCTGACGCCTGTTATATATTTGGAGTTTGCGTGTCTCTCTCTCTCATCATCATCACGGTGGCTAGGAGATGTTAACTACCTCGCCTGGTCTACAGGAGGTCGTGGGTTCGATCCCGACCCTGACGCCTGCTACTGCTGTATATTTGGAGTTTGCGTGTCTCTCTCTCTCATCATCATCACGGTGGCTAGGAGATGTTATCTACCTCGCCTGGTCGACAGGAGGTCGTGGGTTCGATCCCGACCCTGACGCCTGCTGCTGTATATTTGGAGTTTGCGTGTCTCTCTCTCTCTCATCATCACCACGGTGGCTAGGAGATGTTAACTACCTCGCCTGGTCTACAGGAGGTCGTGGGTTCGATCCGGACCCTGACGCCTGCTGCTGTAGATTTGGAGTCTGCATCTCTCTCCCCTCGTGGTCACGTGGATTTTTCTCGGGTCCTCCGGTTTTTCCCTCCACATTTAGAATCACCATCACCACGCGTTAAGAGTGTTTGGCTTCTCAACATTTCCACACGATGCGAAGCCACTTCGTTGATCTATCAGTTGTGGCCAGGTCGCTTCTGAAAAAGAGCTACATACGAGTCTAAAGTTTAGTTTCTATTCACGTGTTGGCATCTCTCTCTCTCTGTCACCTCTGTTGTACTGCCTATGTCATGCCACTCCATTGCCAATCCACCGCTGGATGAAAGCCTCCCCCACGCTGCCACACCATACCTCACCATGCTGCCTCACCATACCTCACCACGCTGCCTCACCATACCTCACCATGCTGCCTCACCATACCTCACCAAACCTCACCATACCTCACCATACCTCACCATGCCTCACCACGCTGCCTCACCATACCTCACCACGCTGCCTCACCATACCTCACCACGCTGCCTCACCATACCTCACCACGCTGCCTCACCATACCTCACCATACCTCACCACGCTGCCTCACCATACCTCACCACGCTGCCTCACCATACCTCACCACGCTGCCTCACCATACCTCACCATACCTCACCACGTTGCCTCACCATACCTCACCACGCTGCCTCACCATACCTCACCATACCTCACCATACCTCACCATGCTGCCTCACCACGCTGCCTCACCATACCTCACCATACCTCACCATGCTGCCTCACCACGCTGCCTCACCATACCTCACCATACCTCACCACGCTGCCTCACCATACATCACCATACCTCACCATACCTCACCACGCTGCCTCACCATACCTCACCATACCTCACCATACCTCACCACGCTGCCTCACCATACCTCACCATACCTCACCATACCTCACCACGCTGCCTCACCATACCTCACCATACCTCACCATACCTCACCATGCTGCCTCACCATACCTCACCACGCTGCCTCACCATACCTCACCACGCTGCCTCACCATACCTCACCATACCTCACCATACCTCACCATACCTCACCACGCTGCCTCACCATACCTCACCATACCTCACCATACCTCACCATACCTCACCACGCTGGTCAGTGCTGGTTGTGAAGATGGGGGGTGGGGGGGTAATCGGTCACCACTGATGTTAGCCGTGGTAGGTTGCAAGCGCGGTGCGCTAACCACTGTGCCACCGCTCCCCACGTGTAACAAAGCTGCCCCCGTACTGTATAGCCTTCACCAACTTTTGGGGCAAGTGCTGTTAGCGAATAGCCGCCATTCGGCACTAAGTGGCGGTGACGTCACCACGGCGCTTGTGCCAGGCTATGTGTACTTTGAGGCCACGTGAAGTGTCGAACGCCCGCTGGCAGGAGACCATTGGTCAGACCCAGATGCCATGGGTTGACCGACTGAGATCACCAGTAGATGCACCACCTGTGCCCCCTACTGTGCCAACCTGCTGTGCTTTAGCCACCCGGCGCTCCGCTCGTTGTTGTGAGCGTCGCTCCTTCGCCCTCCGTTGTTGGATGACAACTGCCTCCAACTGCCCAGTAGCGTCCTTCACGAGCCTCCTCCACAGAGGCCGATCTTGACACCGCTAGTATCAGCTTTCGGCAAGTCCACTCAGCTCCACGTCCTCCTGTACCACATCACTCCATCTCTTCTCTAGCCCGTACCGCGCCCGTTTAGCCCCCTCGATCCGGCCGAACAGAATCTGTTTGGGCATGCGGTGGCTGGGCATGCGGGCTACGTGACCCAGCCAACGCAGCCTTGCCCGCCGGAGGAATGTATCCAGATCATGAACACATAAAGACAAAGATTCCCCAATAGCCTTAACAGACTGTTGGGGCAAGTGCTGTTAGCAAGCACCTATGAAGGCCGGAACGGTACACAAGGGGGTGGGTGGCCAGCGTCACGCCCGACCGCCTTTGTCTCCCTAGTGGCAATGTTTACACACCGCACCAGGTACTCGTTTGAACCCGAGTCGACCTAGGGAAGGCCCAGAACCGGTTCAGATAATCGTCACAGGCGGTGTTGGCCGGCGCCAGGTTTGTAGCGCAGCGCTAACCACTACACTACCGCTCCCCACACACACACGTACACGTACACACGTACACACATGTACATGATGCCCCCCACCCCCGTCCTACCACCCCACCCCCCACCACACAGCTCAATTTCCAATGAGAAGCGACGAGGAGCTGGAGGAGGAGATGCAAGAATCGTCGCCGCCTCTCGCCGCGACAACCAAATCGCTCGCTCCGCGGGGTACGCGGTCAGGCGCTGGATCCCCATTGAGACTCCACGAGGCTGGGTCCCCATTGAGACTCCACGAGGCTGGGTCCCCATTGAGACTCCACGAGGCTGGGTCCCCATTGAGACTCCACGAGGCTGGGTCCACATTGAGACTCCACGAGGCTGGGTCCCCACTGAGACTCCACGAGGCTGGGTCCACATTGAGACTCCACGAGGCTGGGTCCCCATTGAGACTCCACGAGGCTGGGTCCCCATTGAGACTCCACGACGCTGGGTCCACATTGAGACTCCACGAGGCTGGGTCCACATTGAGACTCCACGAGGCTGGGTCCCCACTGAGACTCCACGACGCTGGGTCCACATTGAGACTCCCAGAGGCTGGGTCCCCATTGAGACTCCACGAGGCTGGGTCCCCATTGAGACTCCACGACTCTGGGTCCACATTGAGACTCCACGAGGCTGGGTCCCCATTGAGACTCCACGACGCTGGGTCCACATTGAGACTCCACGAGGCTGGGTCCACATTGAGACTCCACGAGGCTGGGTCCACATTGAGACTCCACGACGCTGGGTCCACATTGAGACTCCACGAGGCTGGGTCCCCATTGAGACTCCACGAGGCTGGGTCCCCATTGAGACTCCACGAGGCTGGGTCCCCATTGAGACTCCACGAGGCTGGGTCCCCATTGAGACTCCACGAGGCTGGGTCCCCATTGAGACTCCACGAGGCTGGGTCCCCATTGAGACTCCACGACTCTGGGTCCCCATTGAGACTCCATGAGGCTGGGTCCCCATTGAGACTCCACGAGGCTGGGTCCACATTGAGACTCCACGACTCTGGGTCCCCATTGAGACTCCACGAGGCTGGGTCCACATTGAGACTCCACGAGGCTGGGTCCCCACTGAGACTCTACGAGGCTGGGTCCACATTGAGACTCCACGAGGCTGGGTCCACATTGAGACTCCACGAGGCTGGGTCGACATTGAGACTCCACGACGCTGGGTCCACATTGAGACTCCACGAGGCTGGGTCCACATTGAGACTCCACGAGGCTGGGTCCCCATTGAGACTCCACGAGGCTGGGTCCCCATTGAGACTCCACGAGGCTGGGTCCCCATTGAGACTCCACGAGGCTGGGTCCCCATTGAGACTCCACGAGGCTGGGTCCCCATTGAGACTCCACGACTCTGGGTCCACATTGAGACTCCACGAGGCTGGATCCACATTGAGACTCCACGAGGCTGGGTCCCCATTGAGACTCCACGAGGCTGGGTCCACATTGAGACTTCACGAGACTGGGTCACCATTGAGACTCCACGACGCTGGGTCCACATTGAGACTCCACGAGGCTGGGTCCACATTGAGACTCCACGAGGCTGGGTCCCCACTGAGACTCCACGAGGCTGGGTCCCCATTGAGACTCCACGAGGCTGGGTCCCCATTGAGACTCCACGACGCTGGGTCCCCACTGAGACTCCACGGGGCTGGGTCCCCATTGAGACTCCACGAGGCTGGGTCCACATTGAGACTCCACGAGGCTGGGTCCCCATTGAGACTCCACGAGGC